TCTTTACCCGGTTCATCTGTATTTTTGTTTTTCTTAAACGCCGGAGTTTGAAAATCATTTTTTCTTTTTTGATACCGACGTCCGGGTTGTAGAAGTGCTAGGTCTCTCTTCAGTTCTCTGTTTCTTGGGTGGTGGAATAGTTGTTGTAGTCTCTGATTCTTCTACTTCGTTTAGACTTGAGTCCTGCAAGAAACTTTTAAGGATTTCAAAATCATTTGGATTATAATATTTTTTCACCTGGTCGGGACTTGCTTTACAGATTTCCCCTCTGTCGTTCTTAAGATATAAGACTACTCCTTTGATTTCCTGAATTACATAGGGGCCTTCAAAACTTTGGAGCTAGCTTTGCCATAAAATTGTCTGGGGCACTTGATAAAGAAATTTCCGCTTCAATACTTTATCCCCAACTTTAAAATCTGCTTCGCGGCGTTTTTCTATCATAATAAAGTTTCTGCCTATTCTTGCCGTATCCGAGGTTTTAAGCGCCTGATCAATCAACTTTTGCACATCTTGTTGTTTAAACTCCTGCTCTCTTGTTGCACAAAGAATAATTTAGCTAAAGCTAAAGGCGTAATTAACTTTCTGCCTAAAAATAATTCTGCTGGAGTTTTTCCCGTAGTATCATGATGTGCCGTTCTTAAAGCATAAGCTAATTCATTTATGTAGCCATCCCAGCGCTTGTGATGTGTGCTCACGTAACTGCGAATTATTTTTACTATGTTTTTATTAACTCTTTCTGCTATGTTAGCCTGTGGTCTATACGGAACCATTTTGATATGGCGTATGCCAAGTCCATTGCATATGTTTTCAAATATTTGACTAATGAATTGTTTTCCGTTATCGCTAATAACTTTTATCGGTGCACCGTATTTTAAAATGTATCTGTGTAAGAATGCATCTGCGACTGTTTTGGCTGAGGCGCGTTTAAGAGGAACAATTTCTATCCATTTTGAAAAATGATCTACTATTACTAAAAGAAAACGATTTTTATTTAACTCGCTCTGGGGGAAGGGACCAAGAAGATCTATGCCTAAACTTTCATTCGGAAATGTAGCGCGAATGCTATTTAAGTACCCGGCCGGGCTGTAATTAATATCATTTATTAACTGACATTGATTGCAGGACCTGACATACGCCGTTACTATTTTGTATAATTGCGGGAAATATACCGCCCTCGCGTACCCTTTTTATAGTCTTTCTGACCCCGAGGTGGCCCGCTGTTTTTTTCTTCGTGCAACTCCTTCAAAATGCTTAATCGAAGCGAGGCTGGGATGACTGGCTTATACTCAAGATTTTCGTTTGTTGTTTTCGTATAGAATAATAAATTATCTATTATTTCATAGTTTTTTTGCTCTATTTCTTATCGCATCGATATCTGTATGCTCACAGCTTTCGGGGTCTTTCAAATAAGCATAGATATTTCCAAATTCAGGATCAGCTTTCAGTTCAGTAATAACCGTATCTCTAGAATCTAAAATTTTTGAAGTCAACACAGCACATTTAAGTTCATTTCCTTCGTCGTCCAGTTTTATACGAGAAAGTGCGTCAGCTACATTGTTTTCCTTACCCGGTTTATATTTTATTGTGATATTATATTCTTGGAGTTTTAAAGCCCATCTTATTAACCTGGGCGTTAGGTTTTTTCCGAGTAAAGTCTACCAACAGCCGCATGATCCGAAAAGACTGTTACTGGCGATTTCCCGAAATAAACTCGAAATTTGTGTACAGCCATTAATACGGCTAAAATTTCTCTTTCTGTAGCTGTATAATTCCTTTGTGTTTGATTCAATGTTTTACTAAAAAATGCCAGCGGATGGTTATATTTGCATAAGAACCGCACCCACCGCATAGTCTGATGCATCTGCCGCAATTTCCAGGTTTTTCGTCCCCCTCAGGGAATTAATTTTAAAACAGGGGCATTAATAAGCGCTTCTTTTAATCTTTCAAAAGCTGTGTTAGCTTCCGCTGTCCACGTAAATTTACTCTTTTTCTTTTGATTACTAAGAGTGGTTCAACAATATTAGCGAAATCTTTTATGAAAGATCGATAGTAAGAACATAATCCAAGGAAAGACGAAAGTTTCTTGGCGGTGTTGGGCGGTGGGAAATTCTTAATAGCTTTTTATTTTTGAATCTTGCGTTTCTATACCCTTTTGCGAAATTTTATAACCGAGATATTTAAGTTCTTTAGTTGCGAACTTGCATTTTGAGGCGTTAATTGTAAGACCGGCCTCTTTTTAATAATTTAAAAACTTGTTCGAGGTCATTTAATGTGTTGTTCCAACGTACTACTCGTTATAATTATATCATCTAGATAAATTAAAGTTGATTTTCCTAGGACAGGCTTTAGAACAATGTCCATAGCTCTCTGGAATGTTGATGGGGCCCCACACAACCCAAAGGGCATGCGTAAAAATGCATAAGTGCCCGATTTTGTTATAAACGCGGTTTTGTGTATATCTTCGGGTATCATAGCTATTTGATAGTAGCCAGACGTTAAGTCCAAAGTAGACATATATCTTGTCGATTTGATCTGTCTAATGATCTCGTCTATAACCGGCAAAGGGTAAACTGGAAATTTAGTAATGCTATTTAGTTTTCTGTAATCAATAGCAAACCTCCAAGCCCTTTTATCTGAAGGAGGAGGAAACTCGTTCTTTTTCCTACATAGTACGACTGGACTCGCGTACTCACTATTTATGGGCGTTATTATTTTATTCTTTAACATCTCCTGAATATGTTCTTCGATGATTAGGTCTTTTTGTTTATCATAACGATACGGTTTAGTCCTACAAGGTTTTTTTCGGCATTTAATTGAATCTTATGAGTCACGATTTGGCAGTTTCCTGGTTTTTCTGAAAACAAATGAGAAAAATTACTCACCACTTGCTGTATTGCTTTACTTTCCTGGTCATTCCGATGGCTAAGGTCCACTTCAGGTGTCTCCACAGGTTCCACCACCCTCCTGGTCCATCTCCAACACCACGGAATTCTATCTTGAAAATTTAATTTGGCCTTCGCGGCCCTTAAAAAGTCCATACCTAAAATAAGACTCGAGTCTGCAAATTTGTAATGTCTTTGACAACCACAAAAATTAATACTTAATATACACAAAAATTAATACTTTGAGGCTTTCTTGTTTTACCTGTAAGTTTAATGATAATTTCCCGATGCACATTGACATGTTTCTTCCTTGCGCTGCTATAATTTTTCCGTTATTTCTGGTTTTAAATAGTCGTAATCCTATTAAAATCTTTTTGAAGAACTTTTCACTCATAAAATTTCCTTCTGCTCCTGTATCGATGAGGGCTTCTACTGGTACATTGCCAACCAGGACTTGTATAATTGGTAGCTGTGAGTTTTTTACGATGACCGTGTTTAAATGTCTATTTGAGGGTTTTTTTAAAACTTCCGGGGTCTGGACCCTCCCTTTCACAGGCCCCTCTAGTCGTTTAAAGCTTTCCTTTCAATCTGTGTCTTCTGGGTACGCGGATGCTTATTTTCAAATTTTTCTTTTTGGGCCTTGACCTTCGAGTTTCGATGCGTTAGCTTGATAGTTCTTCCCCCATACGAGCGATTTTCCATTTCTGGTTTTTCCTCCTTCCTTCGGGTACTTTGAGAATATGTTTCCCCTCTCGCTTTTTCCGCGATTCTGCGATTTTGAAACTTCACCGCCAATTCGAAAAGTTCCTGCAATGTGCTTGGGTTTCTAATTTCAAAGTAGTCTTGGACAGCGGGTAACAATCTTGGTAATATTATTTCAATTATCTCCGCATCGGGTTTTTTCCATACAGCATATCCGTTAGCTTGATTTTTCGTAAAATAAAGTCCGTCAATTCTGCTGTATCCCGTTGGTAGAAACTATATAGTTTCGGCTTCCAGCCGTGCGCGATCTTTCACTATGGGGAAGGCCTTTACTAACGATTTTTTGAAATTTTCAAATGTATACGTCGGGCTTCCAAATTCACCTAGAAGAAATTTTCCTATGTTTTTCCACCATAGCGCGGCCTGTCCTCTTAGTGCTAATGTGGCGATGGCAAACTTTTTGTCTTTCAGGCACAGGGTAGAGCTGAAAGTGGTTTTCTAGACCTTCGAGAAATACCGCCACCGAATTTTTTTTCCGTCGAAATAGACGTTTGGCTTGATTGATGCTCTCCAAAGTCTGGACCAGGTATCCAAATCCTTCTAACTGAGTTGTCATTTCTTGGTGTTGTCCAGCGGCTTCCATCCAGTTTTTCGGCCCATTTTCAGTTCGATAAGTGTTCGGGCGCCAATATAACGTTGCGCGCCTCCAACTTGCACGCAACCAAGAGGTGACTGTGAAAGCTTGTATAAAAGATAGAGCCGTGTGAAGGGTTTTTTAAGTCCCTTTTTATTCAACGTAATAAATTACAATTGCGTCCTCTTGACGCTTACAGACGGTGCCAACTTGGCAGTCAAAATAAAAATAATAACCTGAAAAAGAAAGTAAAGACAAGATTCTAACTACGAGGCTCTCTAAAATAACTAACTCACCGCGTTTTACAATACCGCTGCTAATTCAGCAGACTTGAAGCTCACTGCAACGATTACCACTACTTCCCGCCAAGCACATAGGCCGCAACGCGGGGTTCTTCAATTCTCGCTAACTACCTCCGCGCTCGCTAAGTAAGAATATCACATACCGAACTTGTTTCCTTCTATTTTAAATCAGAATACTTCCGCTGATAATTTGAATCCTTGCGCGTTCTACGCAAATTTACATATTCTGGCATTGGCAGTTCCAGGGGAAAGTAAGGCTTGACAGGAAAGATAGTTTAAACTTAAAATAAATGTTAGTTAAAATAAATATAAACCCTACAAGACATTTAAACAATAAATATATTCCTCAGGTAATTCTTTGAAAGCAAAATAATTTTTTTCAAGTAATGTGCATTATGTGCTAAAAAGTTGTATTATTACTGTTTAATAATCTGAAATAATTATTTATCAATTTTTTTACAAACGTTTCTTTCCAGTGACTTAAAAGTCGTGATGATTGGTGATGCTTCAATCGGGAAAACTTCATTGGTGCTTAGGTATATAGACCGGCAATTCCAAGACACCATCAGCGTAAGAATTTTATCAAATGTATTAATAGTATAAACTTAAAAATCATGTTTTCTTATCAGTTGTCTAGTTTCTTAAAGTACTTTTAAAGTAAAGTGCATGAAAAATATTTTCTTTGTATAATTTAATTTGTATTTGTTGTCGTAAGAGCAGCAATCGAGATTGAAGAACATTGAATCTAAAATTAAAATAAACGTTTTTATCTGCTGTACTCAACCTGCATTGCTTGTCAGCTATTAAGGAACATAATCATACGAGATAGTATTTAATAGGCATATACAAGTGTCCCAAAACTTCACGTACAAACTTGGAGGGGAGGCAGAGAATATCGTAAGGAATCATAATCACCAGGAAAGCATAAGCGAAATACCCCCCCCCCGTTACGTGATAAATAGAAATAAAGACAGAAGAAGAACAATAGCAGAAGGTGGTCTAAAAAATTGTATTACACAGCCAAAGAATATGAAATTATGTCTAATTATCACAAGAGGTGTTCGAAAATACGCCCGTTGCACTGATACATGCAAAATATGAGTCTGTCAATACAGAGTGTGACCTTCTCGGACACTAATATATATTTGGCATCTGTTACGCATGCTCTTCACTAAACTGTTCAAGACAGTTGAGAGATTCGGTCTCATTCGTCTACTAGAAATATTTTGAGCTCTGGTACTGTTTGAGGAATTTTCTATCCCCTGCCAATTGCATTCTGGGCGTGATATACATGATTTAGGTCTGGAGAATATGGGGCCATGTCATGCGCTCAATATCTTTTTCTGTTAACCTGTTGAACATTTCAGCTGTCCTATGCGAGTGGGCATTGCCACCCATAAACAGAAAGTCTAGACCAGCTGCGCCTCGGAAAAGACAAACGTGACACAGAAGAATTTACTATTGCATTGCTATTATGTTAATGTATCTCCGTTAAAAGATGTAAAGAGGAGTTCTGCCATTGCGTGTGATACCCTCCTATACAATTACCCCTCAGCTATCGCAATCAATTTTCTGGACATTCTGGTGATAATAACAAATTTCTTCCTCTGTCCATACTAGCTACTGTCTATAAGCATTGCCGATGATGAGATTGGATTTGTCAGAGAAATTGACTGTAGATTACTGTTGCTGATCCCAACGAATATGCTCCTCACACCAACGTAATCTTTCCCGACGTTGATGTTCTCGTAGCAGAATGCATGCAACAGGTTTCCGTGCTCATAATGTTATTTAATAGTCGAAAAATGGCTTTTGCGCATGCATGTGTGGCAGTAGCATTGGTAAAGTCTATGACTACCTGGCCAGAGTAGCATTTATTTTTCCAACACACCAACGAAAAGAGGTAAAACGGTTAACACTGTAAGATTAGAAAGAATACCAGAAACACTTTGTTTGTGGGGCAGCCCTCCTACCTGACCACAAGTGACCTTATGGTTTAATTAGGCTAGAAACAGTAGCAGAGTATGCAAAAAAAATACGATTGCTTCGTCCTTTCATCCAAAATAACGTTTCGTCTAATCTTCCTTCCCCCTTGTCATTTACGGAGGAGTGATTTTTCACCATTTTCTCCACTGTCCTGTTAATCTCAGCATCGCGCATCAGACGTGGTAAACGAGATGGGTTTAGTTTATTTGATTATGGAAAGTACGCTAGGGCTATCTGTCTAGAAGGAGGGATACTTTTGTGGAAACTCTTCTCAGGGATACGGGCTCGTAACCGCGCTACATATAAACGAAACCCCGAAAATACCCATGCAGACTGTCATCATCAATTTCATAAGTTCAACTTATACATACACAAAACAATGCTTATTTTTATAGCCCAAAAGGGACGTTACCCCAAATGGGCTATCAGTCTCGAAACGGGAATTTTCGTTGAATCACTATAAAAGGCGTATCGCTTTTCAAATTGTTGCCCCCAACTATTATCGTTTTGTATTATATTGAAAGAAATTAAATAATGAAGGATCTGCATGAATGTATGCATGTTTCTCGCATTGTTAAGAAACAACTATACTTAAAGCTACCAAATTTTAAATAAAGTAGTCCTCCACCCAAACATGGGCACCCGGAAGCCCGAATTTTGAATTTCGAATTTCTTTGATTATCTATTTCATATTCTGTAACATTTTAACGAATTTTTGAGTAACTAAACGATTTCAAAGCGAGCAGTATCAACACTGTACGGATAAAAACAATTTTATCTCCAGCGCGCGAGATTGTCTATCGGAAGTTCTAAAGATTGTTTTGAAATATTTTGTGATTTGGCTGTTGAATCGAATTTTATGTGACGTAAGCGCCAAGAACGTCATATTTAGTAAATAAAGTAAACATACAAAATACTACTAATAAAAAGACAAAAAAAAAAAAAATTCTAAAGCCATCTTAGTCGTAGTTCCTAAAGCCACTTTAGAAAACTGTACATTGATATGATTGACTGATTTTCGGCAGAGTTTTGCCTCTTCAGATTTTCACGTTACATTATGCAAAAAATATCACAATTTCACATATAATTTCACTAAAATTATTTATATATATACAAAATTCTTAACAATATAATGCTATTAAAGTTATTTAATAAATGGCTATTAAAGTTAAACAAATACCATATAATCTTAATTTATTAATCGTAAAAATGCTTTATGTCGGTAAAAAGTTACCTAATAACTTAAAATTTTAGAATATTTCGCCATGTTTATATAGTTCAGTAATAATCATATCATAATCATTATAATACGATATAGAATACTGTTATTTACGCTGTATTATTACGCAGAATATTTTATGCAAAGAAGCTGTAAGAAAGCTTCACGCAGAAAACGTTTGAATTCAAGAACTAGGGAGGAAGCAGATACTATCAGAGGGATTGGGGGGGAGGAAGAGTTAGAAATCATTTATGCGAAGCGGTATCGGAGGGAGAGATCTCAAGGAGGTTGCTGATGTCACAAGAAATTTTGATACAAACAAATGTAGGTGTGAAAACAGAGAAAGAAGAGTGCAACGTTTTCTGAACAGGATAGTTTTCAAGAGTCACTAGACAGGATAAATAATGTTCTTCGAAGTCCGGGTTGTACATTGAGAACAAAAATAAGGTTTTATAAAAGTGAGAATTTTCGTTCTCCGTATTTAGTTATCATCCTTCCGAAAAGTTCCACTTCTAGTATTTTCGAGAACGAAAAATTTACCGGCAGCCTTTGGCGTATGGCTGGGGCCTTTTCTTTTACCTCAACTTGATCATAAAAGAGTTATTTCCTAGACAGAAGCATACATCCAGAAGACTGGCATACATCCAGAAGTTAAAATCGGTTTTTAAGGCAAGCTTATTACTGAAGTAAAATTTTCAAGATCTAAATAATTTTCTGTTGAAATTGTGCTTCAGTTACGTTAAATATGTGCCGGCTAGAATTAAGATTTATCTCAAAAACTGAGAAGAGCTCCAATAGGCGCCGCCTCAACTATTCTGTTGAAATGTGGTATTGTTCCCTACGCCTCCATAGTGTGCTTTTGCCTAGCATTTCCACTCGAGGCATCTAATTATTCATTGTCTTACAGACATTCTGTAGTCAATATTTGGCATAAAACGGAAAATTTACTGTCAGATCGCTTGGCTGGAGTTCGAATCCGCAGAAGACATGCAGGCTGGTGACTGTCTATTTCCTTTTCTTTCCGGTTCAATCTTGGTTACCCCTGTGCTGCTTGCGCAACGTTCTCCTTAATGAAACGGCTAAATAACTAACAAAAGAGTTTGGCCATTCGTGACGAATGCGTAATTTGGACAGTTTGAGGGGTAAGAAGAAAAAAAAAAAAAATTAGTTTCGTAGGTATTTTGTGCATTAAGGTCAATTCAGTTCGAAAAGTGTTTATATCTTCTTTCGTGTACGCTACAATTTAGGCTTTACATTATAAGGTATTTCTCCCACACTTCTTAACGTGCCTTCGTGGTCAGCACGCTCGACGTGTATTCGAAAGGTCCGTGGTTCGAGTTCCGGCGAAGGCGTTGCTCATTTTTCACATCTCCTGCTTCCACAAAAATCCTAATATCCTTACAACATACAAAAATTAGTGTCTTATCTTCCTGCTGAAAATTCCGTACGACATTAGAGATCATCTCAGATCATTGTATCTGTATTCGGATAATGGACTTTTAAAGCAATAAGCCTCTAGATTTATCTTAGAAACATCTTCTTCTTCCATATCTCAATACTTTTGTGCTTATTCCAACTTCAGTGTAATCTTAAACTTTCATTGTACTTAAAACAGCAATCAGTGTAACTTAAAAACTTATAGTTTGATGAGCAACTTAGCGTGAAGGGTAGCAGAAATAAACGATATATTCTGCCAAACGCTGCGTATGAAGCACATCAAAGAAAGTATTCATAGAAAGTGAAAGCATGTTTACTGTATTATTTGGGATTGGAGTCGCCTTAAACTACCGCTTTCAGTTTTAATTTTGAATTTTCGTTTTCATTGTGAAAATATGTGGGGCAAATCACCTTTTTAATACCTAAAGCATATGTAACAAAATGTAGATGAAAAGGAAGAAAAAACTTGAAACGGATACCGAAACATAAATGATTAGTTTGAGATGAAAACTGTAGGCTATCGAAAAGTTATTTTAACGAAGAGAATAACTTTTTGTTATATTTTATTATTTATTACGCAAGAGAAATAAAGAAAAATTTAAAGAATAATTTATTAATTAGGACAGATAATCACAGTTTTCAAACAGTAAAGCTTTGTTTTGTATCAGAAAGATTATTTAAATAAAGAATTAAAGACTAAAGCATCCATATATCATAATTTATTATTATTGAATTTTCAGGAATTTTAAATATTTTTGTAAGGAAAATTCTACACTGCTCTTTTTTTTAAAAAAAACCATTTCTCTGAAACGGTTCTAACTATGTCTAAAATAATTACGATTTAAGTGTTTTGCACTTTAATGTTTGTCGAGAAATACAGTGAAGTTTGAGAATAAAGATTGCAAATAAACATGCTTTTCTAAAAGCG